GATGCATGATCTTGACAAACCCCTTCCGGAGCTTCTTAAAATGCTCCAGACTGCAGAGGAGAACCTTACTAAGGGCAAGGGTGCTTCCGTCCTTATGGTCCAAGGCGGAAAGGGGAAGCCGAAGAAGGGGATTAAGATTAAGGCTAGGACGGTCGGAAAGCCTAAATCGAAGTCCACTTCATCTGCAACCCAGAAACCCATAGGAGGAGTTGCAAAGGGAAAATGTCATCACTGTGGTAAGGCAGGCCACTGGAGGAGAAACTGCAAGACATACCTCGCAACCAAGAAGAAGGAAGGTACGACCATTTCTTCTGAGGTGTATGTTATAGAAGTTAACATGTCTATATCTTCATCTTGGGTACTAGATACTAGATGTGGGTCTCATATCTGTACTACCATGCAGGGACTGAAGCAGAGTAGACGGTTAGCTCGAGGCGAGATTGAACTCCGAGTCGGCAATGGTGCACCTGTTGCAGCTTTGGCAATCAGAACTTATAGTTTAGTCTTGCCTAGTGGTCTAACGTTGGAATTAAACGATTGTTTGTACGTTCGTGCAATTAGCAGAAACATTATTTCTATTTCATGTCTTGATAAGAGTGGTTTCATCATTTCTATTAAAGACAAGTCCCTTTCCGTTTACAGAAAGAATGTTTTCTATGCTAATGCCATCATGACCAATGGGTTATATGTCCTTGACTTGGACATGCCTGTCTATAACATATCAGCCAAGAGGAACAAACCAAACGGTTTGAACCAAACATACCTATGGCATTGTAGGTTATGCCATATAAACGAGAAATGCATATCCAAGCTACATCGGTCAGGAATGCTGGAGTCATTTGATCTTGAATCATATGACACATGTGAATCTTGTTTATTGGGTAAGATGACCAGATCTCCTTTCACCGGACATGGTGAAAGAGCTGGTGATCTTCTGGCACTCATTCATAGTGATGTGTGCGGGCCTTTCAATACAACTGCACGAGGTGGTTATTCATACTTCATTACATTTACTGATGACATCAGTAGATATGGCTATGTGTATCTCATGAAACACAAGTCAGAATCCTTTGAAATGTTCAAAGAATTCAGGAATGAAGTTGAAAAACAACTTGGCAAAAGTATTAAAACACTATGATCCGATCAAGGTGGAGAATACTTAAGTGGTGAGTTTGATGACTATCTTAGAGAGCATGGGATTTTATCCCAACTCACACCTCCTCGGACTCCACAATGGAATGGTGTCTCTGAAAGGAGGAATCGAACCCTGCTTGACATGGTTCGTTCTATGATGGGTCATTCGACTCTACCAAAATCATTCTGGGGGTACACACTGAGCACTGCAATATATACTCTTAACCGAGTTCCAACCAAGGCTGTTGAAGGAACACCATACCAGCTATGGACGGGCAAATGCCCGGTTCTGTCACACTTAAAGATTTGGGGCTGTGAGGCTTACGTCAAACGTCTTATGACGAATGGCAAGCTTGACGCCAAGTCTGATAAGTGTTTCTTCGTGGGATACCCCAAGGAAACTCGAGGATATTCATTCTATCACCCTATCGATAAGAAGGTATTTGTTGCTCGCAATGGTGTCTTCCTCGAGAAGGAATTTCTCTCCAACGCAACTAGTGGGAGAAAGATAGAGCTCGAAGAAATTCGAGACGACGAAGAAATTACCGCGCCGGTTCAGGAACATGAGCTAGAGGAACAAACCGGTGTACCTCAAAATGCTCAAGATACACAAGAACCCCGTAAGTCTAACCGGTTACGCACACAACCTGAAAGGTATGGATTCATCCTAACCTTTGAGGGTGACGTAATGCTTATCGACCAGGATGAGCCGGAGACCTACCTCGAGGCAATTAGTTTTCCCGAAGCTGAGGAATGGCGTCAAGCCATGCAGTCCGAAATGGATTCCATATACACCAACCAAGTATGGACTTTGGTTGATGCACCCGAAGGGATCAAACCCATTGGGTGCAAATGGGTCTTCAAAAAGAAGACTGACATGGATGGTAAGGTACAAACCTTCAAGGCACGATTGGTAGCAAAAGGATATCGTCAAATACATGGTATCGACTATGACGAAACCTTTTCTCCAGTTGTCATGATTAAATCCATTCGGATCTTACTTGCTATCGCAGCATACCACGATTACGAAATATGGCAGATGGACGTCAAAACGGCTTTCCTTAATGGAAACCTCCTTGAGGATGTCTTTATGACACAACCTGAAGGGTTTTGTGCTCCTGAAGAATCTACCAAGGTATGCAAGTTGCAGCGATCAATCTACGGATTGAAGCAAGCCTCACGGAGTTGGAACATCCGCTTTCACAAAACCGTCATCGACTTTGGTTTTGAAAGAAATTCGGATGAATTTTGTGTATACAAAAAGGTCAGTGGGAGTGCTGTAGTCTTCCTTGCTTTGTATGTTGATGACATACTGCTCATAGGAAACGATATTCCTACTTTAACCACCGTCAAAACGTGGTTGAGTAAGAGTTTCTCTATGAAGGACTTGGGAGATGCCAGTTATGCACTTGGCATAAGGATTTATAGGGATAGATCACGGAAGCTGTTAAAGTACATACATAGACAAGGTCCTCGCTAGATTCAGCATGTCTGAATCGAAACGAGGATGTTTGCCTATGGTCCAAGGCACGAGTCTTTCCAAGACTCAGGGTGCTTCCACTCTAAAGGAAGTAGAACGCATGAGAAAGGTTCCTTATGCGTCGGCCATTGGATCCATCATGTATGCGATGGTATGTACGAGACCTGATGTTACCTTTGCTTTGAGTGTCACGAGTAGATACCAGTCCAACCCTGGCGAAAGCCATTGGACGGCTGTGAAGAACATCCTTAAGTACTTTCGTAGGACTAAGGATGCCTTCCTGGTATATGGCGGAAAAGAAGAGCTCAGTATTGTCGGATATACTGATGCTAGCTTCCAGACTGATAGAGACGACTTCAAGTCGCAGGCAGGGTATGTGTTTTGTTTGAATGGCGGAGCTGTTACCTGGAAGAGTTACAAGCAAGATACTACCGCTGATTCCACTACAGAAGCAGAGTACATGGCTGCAGCCGAGGCAGCCAAGGAAGGTGTGTGGCTCAAGAATTTTATTACTGAGCTTGGAGTGGTTCCTAGCATCAAGAACCATATACCGTTGTTTTGCGACAACAATGGGGCAATTGCACAAGCGAAAGAACCTCGGTCTCACCAGAAGACCAAACACATCGTTAGACGTTATCACATCATACGAGAAATCGTTGCACGTGGGGACGTTGAGATTTGCAAGATAGGTACAGACGACAATATCGCAGATCCGTTGACGAAGGCTTTGGGAAAGCCTAAACACGAGAGTCATACGTGGTCCATGGGCATTCGAGAAATGCTTGATTGGCCTTAGGGCAAGTGGGAGATTGTTGTATTTAGGTGCCCTAGCGGCAATCAAATACCTATGTAACTGCACACTTTATCATGAATGAAAGGCTTTGAAGTATGTTTTATATCTCGTGTAACATAACATAGCTTCAGTCCATAGACGATAGCGCTTCAGTAATGAGGACTACGATGTTCTGATTATGAGACTGCTACTTCTTGACGAAGGCTATGTCTAAAATATCCCTAGTCGCACTTTATGATAATACGGACGTCATAACGTATCAAGACTAGTACGTACGAGATGAGATAGTTGCGTCTCATAGTCATAGACTATAGGTATTGTGATATCTTAATCTGTACGTAAGTGCATATTATATCGATAATATGTGACTGGATTGACCCATCTTGAGAATACTGCATGGATCTACAGTAATGTGTTTATCAGTGTTCTCAAATCGACCTTGCTATAACTATCCTCAGACTTGAAGTTATTACATTTTCTGATATGTGGGGCCATATGCTTTGATTCATAACTAATGCTATCTGAAATACTGGTAGACGTAAAGTTATGCGTTGGGTATGCCGCTAAGCATATTTGGAGATGTGAATAACAGATACAGGATCTGTCCCTTCTAGTGTATAGAAGTATAATGTCAATGGGCCCCCCTTCTAGTGTATAGAAGTATAATGTCAATGGGCCCACTGAATAGTAGGACTTGGGAAAGTGCATGGCCATGCCCAGATATGTCGCTATTCAGAGACTGATAAATATCTGATCCCTGCCAGTCTACTTGAGATTCAGTAACAGCACTAAATTGATATGTTCCTATGTGTAGGGTACGGAACACAATTTAGTACTGTAAATCCTGTCTTCCTATTATCAATATCTTGCAGAACACAGCATCTTCCATAACTACTCTACTTGCAGAAAAAGTATTAGACCCCTATTATTACAGTTGCTAGATACCGCTTATTATCTATGGTATTAATTTATATTAATATCATTGCTAGTGTTATGGATACCTAAAGGGTCACACACTTAGGACTTGTAAGGGAGTAATATACTACACTAGTGGGAGTAATATTAAATATATAGTTGTAATAATTTTATACATATATATGTATTTCGATAATACATATGTATTTTAAAATTATATTTTGTTTGTCATTTTAATTATATGATAATTATATTTTGACAAAACAAATTTTATATATATATATATATATATATATATATATATATATATGTAGCGCCGAATGTGTGTATATATATATATATTATTTTAATTTTCATCATTTTAATTATATGATAATTATTGATGTCAAAATAAAATGTAATGTGCTTTTTAAATTGGGATCGCCGAAAATTTCAATGGGAAAATACAAAACATAATTTGATTTTCCACCTGGGGTAATGTTGTTTTTGTTGTATGTAAACTGCAATGAAACAAACAAAGTGGGAGAGAGGAAGTTGTTTGCCACTAGGATTCAAATTCTGGAGAGCAAAATTAAGAATTGATTATACTCAGTATATAAGAAAAATACAGCAGCAACTGATTTTAGCTAATTATAAGAATCTGAATCCTGGAATAAGCAGAAAAATTGAAACCGGATGAGCTTTTATTATGCAAGAATGCAAGTGATAAACCTTTTTTGCTCATAGCATAATCTTTATCACATTTCATGCAATAGGATTGTGTCGGCCAATGGAGAAAAAATCTTACCCAATCATGTTGACCCTGAAACTAGACTGCAGAGCAGTATGACGATAGAGATTGTTCAATAGAATATATGAATCTGATCCACAATTAAGTTGGAAAATATTAGAGGGAAGGAATAATATCATCATGACATCTTACGACCCAAACATGGAAATTGATTCATTCTACATAAATTCAACTAGTACCCCAATGACACCGCGCATTCAAGATCGATCGCTCTCATCTCGAATATCATTTATCCCTTCCAAACTCTGAGAGAGAAAAGTTAGGGAAATTTACAAACAATTGTAACATTCCATAATCATATACAAATAAGTGATTGAGCAAAGTCGAGAAATATCAGAGATTACAAAGCCAATTAGCCGAACATCACAAAAGTGAAGAATTAAAATTCAGGAAATATGGAAACAAGATTATTGTTTATTATTTAAAAAATAAGGATACAAGACTAATCAACTCTGATCCATCCAAAACAAGAAAATTACCCAATAAAAACAGTAAATGAATCTGTCAAGGCAATGGCTCACTGATCAGCTTAATCAGATCAATAATCAAAACAGTCATGCCACCTATGTCTGAAACAATATTTTCTAATGGTAGTATTTTAATTCATAAACAGACACATGACACTCGAGTTTTAAGGGAAAAAATGTATACATGATTATAATTTGAAATGAGAACAAAAAAATTTAATTAAGTAAACATTGGATTCAATTCCTTGGTGAGATGGAAAACCAGATTTAGCAATAAGGCCAATAACATCATAAAATTAGATGATATTGTTGTTTACGTCTAAGCATTGAAAAACCAAACCGATCCAACCATCCAAACTAAAAGTCACCCGGTTTAACCCAATTTTCAACCAGTTCAATCGGTTCAAAACCACCTCCCCATTCCACCTGTTTTAAGGGCTCAGCAGACCTGATAACTAGGTATTTCTAGGTCTGCACAATCTGAGGAATCAGTCCAGTTTAAAACACCATAAACTTTATCCAGTTTGCCATGGCAGTTCTAGAGATATTAAGGTTTAACACCAAGGCAATGGCAGAAAACAATAAAGATCAAGCTTGGCCTAGGAAGTGCAGCATTATCAATGACCATAATGACAAAAATGATTAATACAAAAGATTATCAGAAAAAAGAATGAAATAAAGAGAAAGCATGATGAAGAGGTAACACATATGTGTCAATGTAGGAGAAATGGCCTTCTTCAGGTTGAGTTATTACATGTTTTGGGTTAAAAATCAAGACCACTGTTACAATACTAGATAATGCTCCGAGTTGGATCTGGATTAATAATGCAAAAACGTATCTCCTTTTCTTTTTTGGGGAAAAAAGGAGACTGCTAGATTGCAAATGATTGCATGGAAATAGTCAAATAGAAAAACAAAAAAGGAACCTCCATCAGAATAAAAATACTTTCAAAATGGCAATGTGAAATAACAGATCTCAAAATGGCAATGAGAAGTAATCTCACCATAGCAATGTGAAATAACTGAATTCATTTTTACCGTTAGTTTTGGGTTATGAATATAGGAAGACATTGCATCAACAAGCTCTCCAAGATTGTGTGGAGGGGTATTTGAGGCCATGCACACCTGAAAGCATAAAGAATGGAAACAATTGCATGACAAAGGGATACGTAAACTGGTATAGAAATGCATAGAAGATAAAATCAATTAACTATTTTCTAGGTCAGACCGATTACCGCAATTCCAGGCGCACCATTCAGGAGCAGATTCAAGATTCTAGCAGGGAGTAGAGATGGCTCTTTTTGTGATTTGTAAAAATTTGGGACAAAATTAACCTGTAAACCATCATTTCATAAGTGACTAACTCAGAAGTAAGAAACTTATAATTAACATGTAATGTAGATGACATACTGCATTTTGATCTATGTCTGAGAGCGGCATGAAACCATTTATTAGCATCGTCAGCAACGAAAACCATGGGTTTCAGTTTACCAACTAGTAGACATGCCCTTTTGAAATGAAGGCGTTATTTGATTTAATATGGATATCAGAATAAGAATATAAAACTTACAAAAGATAATGGGTATTGGAAAAAGAGGCTTTATCCATCAGCATAAAGCATAAATGGCCATTAACATTAATTTTAACAAAATATTACATGTGTTTTTGTTTCATTCCCCTCCCTCTCTTCAGGAAGCAGCCATTGTGATACCAAGACGAAGCACGTCTCGTACAGACCTCAGGGATCCAAAAGTTGTGATGTACCTAAAATTAGGGGTCAAGCTACGTACATCCAACCCCCCCCCCCACCCAGCCATGAGCGGGAGCCTTTGACCACTGGGGTAATGTTGTTTTTGTTGTATGTAAACTGCAATGAAACAAACAAAGTGGGAGAGAGGAAGTTGTTT